AAGACCGGCCGATGGATTGAAGATAGAGTTAAATGAGCCAAGCGATCAGTTTGCACCGTAGGCAAAGTGTGTGAATCACTGTGAATTATTGCGTGTGTTTATAAAAGTAGTTAAGTTAAAGTGACTGTAGAAATAAATTCTGTGTATCGCAAAATTGTATCGAGAAAGAATAAACTAGTTTTAATCAAGAAAGGACTTGTATCGCTGAAGTTTCTCGGAAAGAATTTCAACGGGAAATTAACAAACAAGTAGATACGTAACAATATTAAATGTTAGTCCTATATTAATCGTTAGGCATATCACTTCTACAGTAGTTAACTTCATGCCAAACTTTTCTTTGCCCGTAACTTTACTCTCTTCTGCTATTGTCTGCCTGCTGTTTTCGCGCCTCTCACACTATTTATATCTTTATCACTTAATCATCTGGCCTTCTAGAAATCTCTATATTCTCGACGTCAATGTATTGCATGCAACTTTCGATAGTCTCAACATCAATCGTCTGCTTTTAACTCTTATTATAACAAAAACTAAACAATAATAAACATTCTCACAAAATATATTAATCAACAATATCTAAACTAAACAGTTTTTTATATCATGAAAACTTGCTACATCTGTGATTTATTTGTTTCACCAACTGTTCAGTAACATTAACAAACAAAAATGTACTTGGTTTGCTCAGAGAATTAGTTATAGTAACGTCATTCATAATGATGTCGCCAATAGGCTATTTTGTTGATAATTTATTCAGTAACACATTGTTAATACAGTTTCATTTGCTCTTAGCATCTCTGAAATTTTAGAATACTGCGATATCACACTGATATAGTATATTATTATAATCATTTTCTTAATATTTACAATATGAGTGATAAGTCTTAATATTTCTAATAATTCACTTGTGTACTCAGCATACTTGTTTGTGCCATCAGATTTATCCGTGGGTTTTGCTTTATAATCCAATCTTATTTTTAATATTTATTTCAATACCCATTCTGCGAGTCAGAGAGACATTTTTGGTGAGTTGAATCCTAAACGAAGCTTTCCTATGTTCTCCTTTCCAAAATTCTGAATAAATATTTGAACTCCTTGCGATACTTGGGATCTGAATTGCCTACCAGTGTGGCCGAATTCACACTAATTTACAGGCTATGAGGGAGTAAAACCCATAAACCCATCAAATCTCTCCCACAGAATATGACAGTGGTTGTACACGTTGCACAATACAAGACCTGGTTCCTCACTTCTATCAAGTTGTTTTCTCCGCAACTTTCGCGAGTTTTTTTTTTTCGATAGAGATGGCTCAAGAAAGTTTACTTGCCGTTGTAAAGTGGCTAAGTATGATACCTGCCCGGAGTGAACACTTCTATTATTTTGTGTAAGAGTAACATAGTTCGGAATTTGACAACCATCTGGACTCCATATCTTCATGGCTGAACAGTGTTGAAAGGTGAGTTCTGTTGCTAGTAAAGTGTTTTTGTTTAGGTTAACAGATCGAGCCCTCTGTCGAAGTACATTTTCGGGGGGTTCTTACTTGAATGTCGGAAACCGTGACACCCCTCTGTAATCCTAGCCTACCCAATCCTCCAAAATTCAGCATCGTCTACACGTAGTTTACGTGCCGATCAAAACGAATTAACACTCAGTCTGAGTGTTAATGCTATTATTCATTTATGGTTTATTATTGTTAATTTTAACTCATTTTTTATATGCAATATTCCTTATAGCTTTAGGTAAACAGCTGCTGTAATAACTACTCCAAAAACCTTCTAAACATATTAATAAGCTTTATTTACATTATGCATTAATAAATCTGCAGATTTACGACGTTAAAATTCGGGTTTCAATACCTTTTGTGTAACTTTGCGCTTAACAACTCCAAAAACAGATATTTTGCATATTCCAATTTACAACATCTGATTTATTTTCGATTTTTTTTTTATATTAATATAATAAATTCCTCTATATATATTTTATTTCCTTTCTAGTATAGCAGAAAAACCTATTAAGTAAAATGTAGGATAACGATCAGTTATAAATAGCATTCTTATCATTTCAAAATCATATACAGTATAGTCTATTAAATAACTTGTTTCTGTATTTCTTGTTAACGTTCAGTTTAAATCAGTTCTAATTTCAGTTTGGTTACAATAAACTAAATCAAACAGATTAAGCCCCCCAGTGGCACAGCGGTATGTCTGCGGACTTACAACGCTAGAAACCGGGTTTCGATACCCGTGGTGGGCAGAGCACAGATAGCCCATTGTGTTGCTTTGTGCATAAATTCAAACAAACAAACAGATTAGATGCATACATGGTTTGCTCATTTTAAATGTACATATTCCGTTATCTTTTGTAGCCCACTAGCCGTACTAACTTAACGTTACAATCTTTGGAAAACTAAATTTGTCACATTTTGTTATCATTTCTGGTGCAACACCGTTCGAACTCGCACAACATTACAATCTTCGAAACGCTATCTTTGCCACTTTTTGTTATCACTTCGAGAACTGTTAGTCCTACTCACAAAATGTCATAATTTTTCAAATACTAGTCTTTTAACATTCTGGAACTCTATAGTCTTACTCACAAAATGTCATGATTTTCTTTTGTTGTTATTTGTGAAACACTAATCGTATACACATAACGTCATAATTCTATATCAGTTAGGTAGCTGGTCTGGTATTTTCTTGTGGTTTGGGCCATTCGACTTGGAATGTGCGGGTCTCGGGTTCGAATCTCGTCATTGAACATGTTCGCTCTTTCAATCCCATTATTCGTTGGTAAAGAGTAGCCCAAGAGTTGGCGGCGAGTCTGTTCAGTGATGGAAATGGGGGTACATGTGAGTACATCCCGTGTACCTAGTTCTCAGTTTGCATCCCCCCATTGGTTAAGTTTAGTAGTAACACTGAAGATGTTTATTAAACCTATCGTCACTGGTCAAAGGCCATATCATCGCATTTGTTGACTTACATTCAAAATTTTATTGAACTTCTATTTTATGAATTTATGTCAATAAGTTTGGTATGAAATTGTAGACTATAATTCAAATTTGAGTATTATACATTAGTTAATTTCTTAATTTAAAAGTAAATATTATAAAAACATGCTTAAATATCGATTTTTGTTTGTCACGTGGTATGTTGAATGCAGCATTGATTCAAATTAGATGTTTGTGATGTTCCAATAAAAAGTCTACAGTTTCTTACGAATTATGAACTCAAATTACCGATATTAACAAGCTGTCGTCTTTGTACACTAAACGGAGTATGGAAAGTAATCAAGGAGGAGTGTTGTGCTTTGGATATGTCAGCCTTAAGACAGAGCCTTTCACAGCAGAAACTACGTTGCGGGGCTACTGTTAAAATGCACGATTGGTAGATTGAGCGTGATCAACCGTGAGAGACATGGACTATAACGATGTATTAATGATCCAAAATAATTTTAGTATAATATACTCAACATTTGTATTAGGTATTAGAGGCAATTTTGCTAAATTATGGTGACATAATTTGAACCTACTGATTTAAAAAATGGGTGTTACTAAGTTGAATGTTTAGATCCTCAAACTTGCAAATAAATATGACCGCCAAAACTCATCAGAAATATTTGATATATTATCAACATGTGCATGAACTTGTTCAGCAAAATGAAATTGTTTGGAATAACTTATTTTCAGTCTATTAAGAACAATCACCCGTGTGTTTAGCTGGAAGAAGCAACAAAATAATGAGTTTACACTATTTCCATAATGATGCGGACCGAAACTGAGACTAATGCAGCGAGGAACACTATGTGCTTATTCTTTTCTGGTTCACTGTATTAAAATAACTTGTACGCAGCTCTGGTTGAAAGTTGGCACATTAAAGGAAGTACTTTCATATTCGTACCATTTGAAAGAAACTGCAACATGTAACTAGTGTTTCGGAAACTATGGTCTCATCCAATGCACTGACTTGTTGTGATACAAACCTCCATTATTGTTGGGCACTGCAATAACACTGGATGGGAAAATTTTCAGCAAAAAAATTAGCTTCTGATACACTTTGTACAGGATGACCTGGACTTGGAGAAGGTGCAGAATAATTTATTTGTAAGAAATCTAGAGCATTGACAAAGCGCGTGCTATTTTGTCCACACACTTGCTGTAATCAGAATCTCTACCCTCGGCCAAGTGGTGCTCTTTTTCTCCACATATAGGGAATTCATTATCAGGCACTAATTTGGAGACAGGCCCACTGCCCTAATCAAATCCTTTCCTCCGTATGGATTATAAACAGGAGGGCAGAGACCTGGTGCCACAGCTCATATCATCACCACCAATACCAGCAGACTATATGGAGGTTCTGTGGCTGTACTACAGGGCACAGAAGTCAGCGACGCACGTGCAGGGTCGCATGACTTGTATGTACAGGAGAACTGGAGCAAGGTTGTGTCATTGTGCCTGACATTTAGTGTAAAAGTTGATGTGTCATAATCAGTGTTGATCCACCTGCCACTATATACCAAAGTTTTTGAAAACATTACAAAACTGATATGTCCGGTTTATTTGTGTGGATTAAAATGTTTACTTAATATTTAGTAAACCAAATATTTTCCATTGTTTTAAAAATAGGTCTTTTCAGGTCGTGTGTCTGATAGTTTATTCGACTTGCATACTTTTGTTAATAACATCTTTTAATCTTTACAGCACTAAGGATTTGTTTGTAATTAAGCACAAAACTACACAATGGGCTATCTGTGCTTTGCCCACCACGGGTATCGAAACCCGGTTTCTAGCGTTGTCAGTCCGCAGGCATGCTGCTGTGCCACTAGGGGGGGGGGGCGGCACTAAGGAACACTATCCATTTCAATCTCGCCAAATTGATTTTTCTCGTATACTGATCTAACTTACTCATCAGTACTTGCAGTTACATATTTTTGTAATTTCATCATGCCAATTTCAGTTTGCAGTGTGCGCTAACCCCCTAGTGTTGTTTTTCACTTGATACTGATACACACTATTTTAAATTATTTCCCTTTTTTATATCTCTTAAATCTTTCTTTATTTATCCTTTGGCAACTTAAAAATTTAGAATGCTTTTTGTTTTCTTCTCTGATATTCCCCAATATAAATATATGTAAATCTTGCTCTACTTTTTTTACTTCTCAGAAAGCGTTTGGTTCTCTTACGTAGCTGTCAAGTTAAGTTCAACAAGATTGACTTTCCTGCTGCAAGTTATGGTGGAATTTGAAATAATGTGGTAATTATAACGTTTAACTTCTTTCTGACGTAGCTTTCAATCTGATGGCTTTTCTTCAGACTTATTAACAAATACAGCGCCCTCTGGTCTCATGTTAGTAAAAAAAACGCTCTCAGCTATTAAATAAACATGACGACGAGTTGATTGACCAGAAGATTGGTGCCACTTAAGGAGCGCAAGTAATACTCTGCTGGTCATAAATAGAAAGATTGTGAAAAGGTGGCAATAAGATAATGATCTGGCGTTGACATCGTATGCCGCGTAAATTAAACTTATGAGTTACACTTTTACTGGTTTCCTTGTCGCATGTTGTGCTAAAACATTCCGTAGCCGTGGTGACGTGCAAATTCGCTCGCAGACTTTCTTCGTTGTTGACAGTTGGGGTTATCACCTCATTAAATAAGTCAACACCCCTACAGCTCAACCATCTACTTCCACGTCTGTTCAAATGAGGAAAGATACATAGAACATAATCTACATTCATTATTTTTCTCCTTTTATCTGTAAATGATCGAAATTCCTTGAAACAACTTTGAAAGTAAACCAATTTGGCGATTCTTGAATACGTAGAATGAAATATAACGTACTTTTTTATTTCATGCAACTATATAAAAAAAGAATAAGTTAAATACTGTGTATTAAATATTACACTTTATTAACAAGAGCTTCTAAATAATTTATTTGTTTAACGTGATACTTTGTGTAAAAATAAATTTTTGAAAAGCAAAACACAAGTTGTGAAACAGCTCATACTTTTAAGTTTCTATAAACGACTTCAAGATACTTTTCCACTTTTGTGTGACTTGATGAATGAGGTGATCCTTGTCGAGTGCGCGAAAAGAAAAAGCTTCATAGTGATTTTATTATATACCAAAAAATTAACATATATCTCACTTCCTACTGGTAAATGTATTAGGATATTATTGCTATTTATTGACATTTATAAACAAAACCTAGGGGCAAAGTTCCCAGCATGACCTGGAGATATTTTTGTTATATCTTTTGAATATAAATATCGTTATAGTGTCTCATCAGCCACCACGAGCATCCTTTTAACGGTGTCTCATCAGTCACCACGAAACATCCTTTTAATGGTGCCTCATCAGTCACCACGAAACATCCTTTTAATGGTGCCTCATCAGTCACCACGAAACATCCTTTTAATGGTGCCTCATCAGTCACCACGAAACATCCTTTTAATGGTGCCTCATCAGTCGCCACGAAACATTCTTTTAATGGTGCCTCATCAGTCGCCACGAAACATTCTTTTAATGGTGCCTCATCGGTCGCCACGAAACATTCTTTTAATGGTGCCTCATCGGTCGCCACGAAACATTCTTTTAATGGTGCCTCATCAGTCGCCACGAAACATTCTTTTAATGATGTCTCATCAGTCGCCACGAAACATTCTTTTATCTATGATTCTACTTTCTTGTATAAAGTATTAAGCAAGAAAAATGAACAAGGAATTGTGTAAAAATCAGTTGCTAAACACGATACGTTCATTATTTAGAGGAATTTGATGTGTGAACGACCGTTGATGATAAAAACTTAAAGGCTTCAGCTAATGTCTAATCCACCGGAAGAGGTACACATTCAACTGTTTGTTTATTATCAACAGAAATTATTTGTTACTGGCGATGTGTGTTTAACTACTAACAAATCTTTCACTGATTCAGTTAATAATAAAACTTGACACAATCAATTATATTTACATGAAAATATTCAGAATGAAAGAGTAAGGATTAAATGGAAATTGATATACAGGAAGTGCACTTCTTTGTGATTTAGTTTAAAACATAACTTTTTAACTGTTCAGTTAATTTTTTAGATTTTTAAAATGACGATGTTATGATTTTTTAAATTGCTTTCTCAAATCGTAATGTATCCATGTCAGAACATATGTATTTCAATGTTATCGGTATCCACACGTTATACTCAATACTGAGTACTCGGTCTTTAAGAATGTTGAAGATAATGGGTGTATTTAAACAAAGTTTTACAATAAGTTAATGGTATATTCATCATAGACAACGTGAAATTGACCTTTTTAGTTACATTTATTTTCTTCCAACAGAAAAATGAAAATACTAATGAATTGTAATTCAAAGGGGAACTAGCAGTTTTTTTTTGTTTTTGCTTTATATAATCACCGGAGTTTGCAAGTCACAAATACAATTTTTTTTCTTTTATCTTTAACCCAATGAACCATAATCCCAATTTCCAAATACACGTTTACAAAAAGAGAGGATAATGAAATCGTGGATGTTTTCAAGTTCACGAACTTGAAATGTGATTAACAGTAACATGTATTATTTTCTTGCTCATTACGTTGCAGTGAAACATCACTCTGATATTGAAATCCTTCCCTCCCATCTCCTGATGGCTCAGCATCAAGTCTGAGGGCTTATAACCTAAATATCTAGTTTTACCTGCAGAAGGACAAAGCACAGGTAGCCCATTGCGTAGATTTGTGCATAACATCAAACAAACAAACAAACCGATACAGAAGAGGGTGTTTTGGTGTGCACGGGTTTGAATCCATTATCACGTACAATTAACATATCCGTAAACGACATTTTCCCGTGTTTTGTTGAAAATCGTTCATGGCTATAGAATGTAGTTCTGGATTACTTTATAAGAACGGTTAATGTCTGTCTATTGGTGAGAGCCAGTATTATACAGCTGTAAGCCAACGTGGACTATTCAATAAGAACATCGTTGTATATAAGAACGATTCTGTTTTATTCTAACTCTTATTAATTTAGGACACGTCTTTGAACTCAAGTGTTATTCCTGTGTTCTTGTTTTGTACAGGATTTCCCATGGAAATATTTGCTATAGCAGATGGAACCGTTCTACCATACATACTGGATCCGAACTTCGAGAAATATCTCCCGGTTATCCCATCAGAAGTAAGCTCAGTCAACTTTACATGGAAATCCGGGGATAATAAGGTACATGAATAATATTCAATTTATCTTCACACTGCCGATGCCTCAAGTTCTGAACATTTATTAGTTTTATCATGTCCAATGAGGAACTTAACTTTTTCAAGGCATTATGAAAATCAAGGGAATTCATTTGTTCACTGGTTGGCGTAGTAGCTCAAAAAATTTATATTTGGTGTTTTCAAAGTCCTGTTTTCTGTATAAAACTTCAAATGTTTTAAAATTCATTTCTAAATGTAATTATTAAAAGTAACTAAAAATTAACTTACAGTAAACTCAAAAAGTAATCAAAACTCTCCTTCATTTAGAAATTATGATTGAACACAGTTCTTTTGAAAGAAACCATTTTTTTGCATTCAAAATTAATTTTAATAAACATTACTGCATTTGTAGATGAACTTTCATTGGACCTCTGACGGCCCACATTTTATTTTTCATTTAAGTTAAAAGTTCTTATCGTCACCAAATTTGGAAAAAACTACCCTTGGAGATTCCGAGGGGAAAAAAAGCTGGACACGTATAGTTGTTAAAGATGGGACAACAACTCGCACACAGATCAATAATTTTATTAGAGAGAATTTATATTCTACAAAGTAGTTTGAACCTATCATAATAAATATCTTTGTCTCTTATTGAATCGAAATATGTGTACTAACAAATAACAGATAATATTAAAGTATTCAATTTGAGATTTTGACAGTTAAATTTGTAGTCAATCTAGGAGTCATCATGACATTTTAATCACATTGGAACCTCATTGCGCCCTCTGTATATCAAAAACGAAGCTATTTGACAAATCACAAAATTTTCTTCACAGAAAGTTATTAAGAAGTATATTTTTCAGTATATGTTTTATTAATTTATTTAATAAAATCTTATTCTTTTCTGAAGCAATACAATTACAATTTCGAAAATCTCCAGTCTTTCAACGAGGATATTTTAAGCAATCCAGTTATATCCATTGAAACCAAGGGAAGGGTACCAAAGAAACCTGGAGGTATGCTTGATTGAACTTGTGAATTTTTACTGTTTTGACTCATGAGAGTGTATATTTTAAATCAGAATACTAAAAAAAATATATATTTATATTACCTTAAAGTGTATTTAAGATTGAAATAAACTTTTTTAAAGTATCATAAAAAAAACTAAGCAAACCCTTATTGAGTCTTAAAATGTTATTATTATTTGAACATAAAATTAGGCATCAGCAATAAGGAACACATTTTTAATGTATAATAAAAGTGCTTATCATAAGGTTATAATGTATAGGCGCTGTAAAAGAAACTGTGTTACTAAATAAACCAATATACATATACACTCTTTAAGTGTCTTTCTGTACACATACACTGAAGCTAAGTAATGAAAAAATAATTACTAAACATACTCACGAGACACTGATTTTGTTGGAAGCCTTATCTTATTGTACACACAAAAAATTACATTGGAAGCAAGGAAGCCAATGTATTGGTAGATGGGGGGGGGGAGAACAAATTGGATTTCAGTTTGCATTAGGGAAGGGTAAATCTCAACCAAGGGCATGGTGTGGCCAAATGGTCAGTGCTGTTTTATGGATTCAAAAGCCCATGGTTCGGATCTATCTCATTGCTGCAAAATGTCGCTTCGCACTTTCCTTTCTTAGCCGATGATGATGCAACAACAGTTACGTTTGTACTTTCGGACGAGTTCATTATCTGAAATATAGGGAAACTTGACATAGACATTTTTGTGCGTTCTTGAGGTTATTTTCAAAACTAGAATAAACATCAGAATCCCTACTTTGACGCTTAGTTTGTATCATAAATCCATATTTAAAAAATACCATGGTAAAATGGGGGACAGCCCCTCCCGCTGCAAGAGGTAGAGGGTAGTTGTTCTCACGATATCGGTACCTATGGTTTGTAATATTATTCTGCTGGAACTAGTGTGTTACAGATACTGCTGGAAGAAGTGTATTGTTACGTCTCCGCTTGTTAATTGATTTTTTTTTCGTAACTTCGTTCCGACGAAATTTTAACGACACAAGTCTTTACTTAATAA